TTCTGGTGCTACACTTTGTGCTCATGATTGTGCTTTTTGTCGTGCGCGCTACAAGCTGCTGTAGATTTAATCCACTGGGCCTTCAAATCCTGGTGCTCGTTTCTGCCTGTGTGATATACAAGGAACCTTTATTTAGAGGGTGGAACGCCCTGGGCACATCGTTCCTTTCTGTTTATTTAAGGGTTAGTGGGGGGTGGCAGCATACGGAGGCTTCATCTATAAAGACTCCCAAAAGGATTCTGTCAGGGCTTCCTAGAACTAAGGGGTACTAGAAATACTAATTACTAAGAGTCTAAGAGAGTTCCATAAAGTTTCGGGGTTTGGGCGTTGAGGGGTTAGGGGCACAGACCTGCCGAAATCCCTTAATTGCGGAATGCCTTAAACTATTGTAGGATCTCAATATGATTGTTAATTGAAGGATCTCGGAAGGTCGGAAAATTTAGGTTTCAGGGTTTCAGGGTTTAGGGCCCTAAACCCGAAACCCTAAACCCTAAGGGCCCAGGGGCTCGGAGAGGCCCTAAACCCTAAATCCTAACCCCACAGAGTCCAAGGGAGAAAGATTAGGTACTCGGGTCTAGGATGGTAGTTCTGTAGCTTGGGAGCGTATATTGCGACTGGGGTTTAGGGTTTAGGGCCCTAGTGTTAGGGGTTAAGGCTCTGGGTTTATAGATTCGGGTTTAGGGCCCTAGGGTTAGAGTTCAAGACTGCAGGGCTTAGGGTGTTCAAGCTTTGCAGTCCACACATTTCATAAGCGGTTTTGACCATCAACTCCGAAAGCTAAAAGCCAAGACCTCGTTTCAACATAAACACACGAATCAGCGAAAACACCAGAATTGTAATACCTAACACGAGAGTGCACCAAAACAACAACTTAAGCACTGCAGGCACACTGACATGATATGAACCCCAAACCCTGAAACCCTAAGACCCTAAACAGTTCACATCCCGATCATAACTCAGAGAAGAAGTTCATGACGCCACAGCAAGAAAGTTAAACGCTAGACATTATGATTTCATGCTTTGTAGTTGATCATCTGAATCTGCTGTTCACGCTTTTGCGTACTGCTGTTTACTTAATGTACTTGGGTGCAATGATATTGACGCAATGCTCATTTGTTGTGTGCTTGATTTATCGTGGTGTTTTTGTTCTTTTTGTCTATCGTTGTTTGACCCAAACCCTGAACCCTAAACCCTAAACCGTCGTTTGTTTTGTCTCTTCTGGCTGCACCCGTCTCTTGCACCTGGCTCTTCTGGAGCTGCTTTGTGGTCTGAATCTCGTCTGCTTGTGGAATGTCGGTTTGCAAGTTGAATGAAATCTGTGTGGGTGTTATATAGGGCCTTGGTGATTAGAATAGGGTTTTGGGGTCCTTTATACTCAACCCCTATAAACCTGAAGCCCAACCGCTTAAGGCTCAACCCAGAGCCCCGCCTGCAGATCCCCTCCAGGCCGAAGCGACCGAGAAGCCAAGCGCCTTCCAGCAGTTGCATGTTGAAGTTGGAGTACGTTTTTTTTGGGGGGGAGTTTAGGGTTTAGGGTTGAGTTTAGAAACCCTTATCAGCATAAGTTTTAGCTTTAGTATTAGTAGTGGTCTAGTATGAGTTTAGGAAACCTTATCTTATCAGCATTAGCTTTAGCTTTGGGTATTAGTATTAGTTTTCGTATAACCCTAGACTGGCCCTGAACCCTTTACTTGTTGAAGGTTGTTAACGACCTTCGCTCAGCAGGGGGTTTTCGTTTCGGGCTGTGGGTTCATGGCTGGTGCTCTAGACCCTAAACCCTAAACCCTAAACCCTGAACCCTAAACCCTAAACCCTAAACCCTAAACCCTATACCCTAAACCCTAAACCCTAAACCCCTAAAGAGACGGCCCAGGGCTCGGTCGGGCGGTTTAGGGCTTTAGGGCTTCAGGAACCACGAGGAGCAGTCTTGCCATTACCTTTGTCCGGTGCGCCCTTATCAGGGTCAGGGCCACCTAACAGCAGGTGAAGCATGGCATCGACTTTAGCATCGGCCTGCTGACTACCTTTGCCTTTGCCCTTAGGAGCAGTCAACATGCTTTGCGAAGGAGCTGGGCGCGCAAGCGTGGCATGCGCAACCTGGCAAAACACCAGCCAGCACATCCCCTTGCTCTGCCAAAGCTTGCGTCAACAAGTCTTGCTCCGCTTTCTTGAGCATGGGACACAAGAACGCCTAAAGATGCTGCATGAGGCTCTGTTGTCCCTGACCCCCGGGAATAGGGCCTCTTTTGTGCCCTTTGGCGCTTGGTTTAGGGTTTTAGGGTTTAGGGTTTAGGGTTTAGGGTTTAGGGTTTAGGGTTTAGGGTTTAGGGTTTAGGGTTTAGGGTTTAGGGTTTAGGGTTTAGGGTTAAGGGTTTTCAGGGATCGGGACATGTGGTATTCACAGAGAAGAGTGGAGACGTCAGGATGGGTGTACTCTCAGTCCATGGGGCTAGAAGATCACCAAAATTCCAAGTGCGATGACCTCCGTCAACATGATCAGAAACTTCATCAGCATCAATTCAATGTAGAATTCAAGTCACTGCTATCAGGTACCAGTATCATAATCGCCGAACTACCATCAACAACAGAGCCAGTACCACGAGTTAAAACCCAGAGCTCAACACTCTCCAGAACCTGCGTAGTATACCCTGATCCTGTCGTGATACAGATGCAAGATTGCAGAACTGTCGATTCTATTTAGGGTGTAGGGCTTGAGGGTTTTAGGGTTTTGGGAAGGAAATTGACAGGCTCTCTTCGGTGTACTAGGACACCCAAAGCACAACATGCAGTATCGGTTCCCAAGATTGACCTATGGTATCTGATAAGAAGTAAAGGGCGACGGAACCCGCAGGTGATTTGATTGACGGTATCAGTTCTTACAGCTGACAGCCATGTTTATTGAATTGACGAGATACCTTCACACCAACCCTAAACCCTAAACCCTAAGTTGAAGTAAACGATGCTTGAAAAAGCCCTGTGAAGTCCCCGTGGTCTTGATAGGCACACGAATCAAAGAATACATGCAAAGACAACACATGGGGTAGTTTTCTAAATTAGGGTCCCTGTTGAAGGCCTGCTTACAAGGGTGCCGTGCTATTTTGGGACCCGAAAAGGGGACCCCAATTTAGAGAACTACCCACATGTGGCTCAAGCGGAAGCCCGCAACTTGCCGCTGATTGGAGACTATACGAGATACCTTAAATTATAATTTAGGGTTTAGGGTTTAGGGTATAATGGTATGACTATGGTATCTGTAATATGAGTTATGCCTACCTAAACCCTAAACCCTAAACCCTAAACCCTAAACCCTAGTTTTGGACACAGTAGTCCTGGGCGGCCGACAGGGGCTGCTGCGTAGCAGGAAATCACAGCCACGCAACCTCACTCCGAGCCGTGCTTGGAGGATCACCGGACTTCGTAACTAGGGCTGATGATATAAATCCTGCATTACCTTAACAACCCTAAACTATGGGGAATTCTGGTATATTCCTTTCTATGGGTAATGCAGGATTTATATCAACCGTAGGAT